GGAGAAAGTGGTCGACCGCTATTATTTCTCACCTATGTAACAAAATGTGTAAAATATTGGGCTAAACTAGTAACAGTGAATAATGGCCGACTTCCGAAGCAAGCGTATCTGATGCTGTATGGATTGGATTGCGTAAACAGATCTTCCTGGACCACTAAAATAAAACATATCTTATTCCAGTTTGGCTTTGGCTTCGGCTACGCCTGGATTATGCAAGATGTTGGAAATGTTTATCTTTTTATATCTCAGTTTAGGCAACGTGTATCTGATTACAACATCCAACGATGGTATTCATCAATATAATCAAATCCAAAGCTAATGGCATATTCAACCTTCAAATCAGTTTTACAGACCGAAGTATATCTTACACAAGTCGACTCTACACTACTGAAACAAGCGCTGTCAAGATTTAGATGTGTCATCAGTTGATGGTTGGGGCAGACGCAAAGGCGTCGATCTAGAATGTCGCTTGTGTAGATATTGTCTCCGATTAAATATTAGTCAAGGGGAAAATGAATATCATTTTGCACTCGTATGCCCTGCTTAATGATTTAAGATATAGATACATTGATCCTTAATACTTTGTAAATCCGTCGCTGGAATCCTGTGTTAGCCAGATGTCATCTAACCATAAACCTACTTCTGTACAGCTATCAAAATTCATATTGAATGCAATGAAATTGTAAAAGTCACTTTATGAGTAATTGTATTCCTGTTCTCTGGGCCTGAGGCCTCTAACTTGAAGTCAAGGTGTTGTCAGAATACTACTGTGTACCACCATTCCGTAGACCAGGTCTTCAGCAACCCATACTTGCGTAAAAGGTGACTATGCTTGTCGTAAGAGGCGATCAGGGGGTCAGGCTCCCTGACTTGGTTGATGCATGTCAACATATCCCAAATGGGTGGATCGATACTCATGATGTGAATTACTGGATGGTCTGGTCCAGACTCGATTATTTACAGACCCTCGTCATATGGCTGGAATGTTGCTGAGTGTGGCGTTAAAGAACAAACAAAAATCAATCGTAATCGAAACGCCGCACGATGTATTTTACTTGCGCTTCCAGGAGATGTAACGTCAATGTATTGAGTGAAGCGTTCATAAAATACATATGTGAATTTACTGAGCATTGGGTGTAGGGTGAGATCAACAAGCTTGCTGATATCGTGTTATTCCTCCAACCACATATATTGTATACATCCCAGCCTCATGTGTTTACTACCTGTTAGCAAGTGTTGTGTTACTTCAAAGTATGAAAAATATAGTCAATGAAATGTACAAAACGTAGATCCCCTGTAGTGCAATGGATACCTAACTTCTTACATACCAGAAACCCATTTGAGATAACTGGAACAATACATATGTATGAGATCGAATTCCAGGCCCGTGACTGGCTACTCTATGGTAATGACCTAAGGTCAGATTAAAACGTGCTACTTTCCTGATTGCAATTCATAAGTTACTCGTGCTTCGGTCAAATTCACCTGCGTCTGTGCCGAGTTTTTATGTTTTTTGAGTGTCAATTCTTTGTTTTTTCTAGTTTGCATTGTCATGATCGCCTTGATAATCCACAGATATGGCAGAGAGTTTTATTGTGGGGGGTCAGTAGGTATGGGCAGTAGGCAGAAGGCCGGATGACGTCACAAATAACCGATGTGTTATGTTGTTTGTTTGTTGTTTATCGCCGCACTCACCAATATTCCAGCTATATGGCGGCGGTCTGTAAATAATCGGACCAGAGAATCCAGTGACTGATATCATGAGCATCGATCCATGCAATTGGGATACGATGACATGCATCAACCAAGTCAGCGAGCCTGACCACCTGAGAAAAGACAATATGCATCGATTCGATGCTCAAATGGTGCTATGTTAGGGTGTGTAAGAAACAGATTGATGAATTCATGTCTGTCGTGTAGTAATCTTTGTACATTCATCGATTCAAGCAAACATTACGTTACGACACGCATCGTTAAACAGAAAAGCGTGTCAAACTGTCTGCACACTAATAGTGTGATATCCCTCCACTTGTGTGGTCCATCATACAGTTTGATGATGTATTGCTGTCTTTAGATGACATAAAAGTAGCTATGGACAAAATATGTTTAACAGTGCCCATACAACGTCTATATAGGGACCGTTTGGTGTCAGACCAATGTCCATACACTTACCACACAGTACCTATAAGGTGTCCATACAGTTTCCATACAATACCATACAATGTCCCTACAATGTCCATTAAGTTCCCATACAATGTTCATCCAGTACCCATATTCCCGAGGCAAGAGCGTCCCCCCCCCCCCCCCCCCCCCACACACACACACACACGATTGTCGCTGTTATTGTGACACGGATGAAATCGCGAATGTTTTCGTCATAAGAGGTCGTCGCCTATGGTGGTCGCCATTTTTGTGTAGCTATACGAGATACGGACAGCGATCTGACTGGATATCATTAGCCTGCCCCACCAGTGGCCCCTGTCACAAACACATGCAAAGGCAAGTCAATTTTCCTCCGGAAAAATAAGATACGGGAACATATGGTACATGTCAAAATAGGGAATTGCATTGGACAACATTCTTGTTACTGATGCGTCACATTTGGAAATGTCCTCCACATAAATCCTAAGTCTACCATAAATCTTTGAAAGCTTTGCCGAGGCCTTGAATGGTGTGACCTAGATCAAACAACTTCAGAACAAGAGTCGTATGACGCTTTTGTAGAAAGAGCATGTTCGATTGTTCCTCAAAAGCTTGAAATGAAGACACCAAAGGCTGGAGCTGCAGGAATATTGCTAGACAATATTTGAAAGTTGGAGTCATCCCTCTTACACAGCCTTTTGGTGAGATACAAAGAACTAAATATGAACCAGATGAGGCGATCTCACTGGTCTCCATTATGTCTAATTCAGGGGGGTAAATCAGTGGAAGGATAGTGGTCATTTGATGGTTAATGAACGATTTAAGATCATCGATATACCTGAAGCACAATTAGTGCCCATGGGAATGCGAACATCGTGCCAGATGGCGCCCAGAATGTTATCAACGAGGAAGCCCAGCATTCACACATATTGTTTTCTCAGTAAACTTCAGATGACATTTGCTTCCCTTTGTGACAAATTGCCCTGAACCTCTGAAGATAGATATGTAACCACGTTTTGTAAGTATCAAGGAATGCAGTTTTTCCTTAAGTTTGTCATGTAGGGGTAGTGATGTACAAAGTTGAAAAACAAAATGTGTTGACAGAACTGATTTTTGCTGTTTTCTGAGATTGTGGAATTCACATGGTATTGATTTCACTTTCACTCTAATTCTTTCTGTGAATATATATAAAGAAATTTATTTATTGTATTAAGGATTATGGTTAATCTTTGAGACAGGGATGTGGAGGTATGATTGCTGGAGCCAGCAATAGCTCTCTCTTTGTACGGACTTTTATTGAAAAAGGAACAGACATGTCTTCAGGTTATAGAGTCAAGCCAAACGTTCTGATGCGTGGTTTGGACAGATTTCTTCAGTTAACAAGCTGGCATTTTATGTGGCATTTGTCTTATGTCACTTATACCAATGTCTGTGATCAAACAATTAAGGTGGTGATGCTTACATATTATGGTGATGTTATTTCAGGCCTTGTCAGCGGGAACAAGTATAAACTTTTCATGTAAGTCAGACAGATTTTGGATGACAGCTGAATGGGAAAGGATGGGTTTATTCCAATTCCTCTTTTTCAGTTTGTGCATTCTACCAGTAACAACATTATGTACTCACTTAACCCACTCTGAAAGACCTCAAGATGTTCCACTTATCTTTTGGCCAATGCTTTGAAATTATTTTAAAGTTGTGATCGCCATTGGTAAGAGCTGCCCGCGATATTTGGCTGCATATTTAAATAGACCCACGTTCTGCAACACGTTCCTATAAGTGAACAACCTGAATGAAATGGTGTTCGTATAGGAAAAGGAAGTGGTTGGTGGTTCCTGGAATTTGAAATATTGGGACATTTTGTCTGAAAATGTTACTGAAAGTTAAGGAAGGCATCAATTCCCTTGTTGGCCAAATTCAAATTCAAGAACATGCGGTCTTTGTTTCATTTTGTGGAGTATGTTTCTGGTTTAGCCAATCGTTTCAAAGCAATCTAAAAACGATACTCTCTTGTCTCTCAAGTCTATACAGTGAGTATACTTATTGTTTGTAGACTCACCCATCAGCAAAAGTCGCTGGGGTCGTTTAATTTCTTTCAGTCACACAGTATAGTCTTGCTCTTACTATGTGCAGCCCCAATGGTTCCTGAAGGAGAGACAGCAGATCTTCAAAATTAATGGGATCCTTAAACTTAATATTGGCCTTCATCCTTTCTAGTGACCATAGTTGCGTCGACGTCTTTGGGATGCCGGAAACAGCCTCCAAACATTGACGTTGGCAGTCCGCTGGTTAGAAAGACTGCCATCGTCTTTAATGTTGTCATTATATCCTTATGTCATTGTTGTACACAACAGTCGAATCCAATGAGTTTCTCTGGACGTTCTATAAGGTAAACACGCACATGATTAAAGTCGGAATCGAAAATATGTGATGACATAAGTAAGTGGTTTTCCGTGTCAGGTTATTGAAACATACTGAAGCCGGTATATAGTTACATGTTTGGGTCCGAACAGAATTCTATTCGGCACTATGTATGTATTATTAACCTTGCTTATACCCCAATCACTGGTTTGCCTGTCCCAGACTCGAATTTGGACATTATATCGAATTAAAGTGTGCCCGTCTGGTACAGATGCCTAGGCCACAGTCATATAAATAACAAACAAGCAAACTACCGAACCCTAAGCTTTGTAATGTGTCCTTAAACCGTGAAACACAACTATAGTGAGCCCACAGCCCACAGCCCACAGCCCACAGTCCACAGCCCACAATGTTAACGGCATTGTCGTGGACAGTTCTTTCAGGTGGGCGACTGGACACGTTGTTTTGTGCCTATTGTTATCTGAGTTATATGTCAGTGACGCGTGGGATTATCTGTCAACGTGGGTTGTATGTAGGCCGTTATTAACAGACCCAGCTGATAAGGCTGACTTCAGTCCAAGTATGAACTTTCACCAACTTGCAGGTAACGATTAATCTGGTTTTTGGTGTATATTGTAATAGATTTAGTCTAGAGTTCAGTACTGTCAAGTATGCATTTATTTGTCTCGATCTTTGACGGGTTCCAAGCAATGGACATTGGCTATATCAGAGTCACGCCTATCGAAACTATCAAATAACATATCAGATGAGTAAAGTACAGTGTTGGGGTGACTGTGATTACACAGTTACCTCCTGTTACCTCACGTGTTTGACTTAATTCTACAGCAGCAGTGAAGTAGATATATTGCAGGCAATCACTGCCAACTCCCGCATATAGTTCGTATGACACGACATACGCTTTTTAAGACAGAAATTAGGTAACAGTATTCTTTGATTTGAAGACGTTGCGTCTCAGAGCCATGGCTTTGAATGCTTTCATCGCTCCGAATCTGATCCTTGCTTTGTCAGCAGCAGAGGGGCGCTTGTAAGTTTCACCAAGTGATGAACGTCACTACCTTCGGTACTTAGATTTGTCCTATCACAGCTGACACACATTGAGCTGAATACTGTTGAGGTCCCCGTAATTAACACAGCGTTATATACTGGTTGTACAGTCATGTTGTAAAACTGTTGAAAGGCAGACAATAGGCCCCTAGAACAGTGAGTCCCGGTGATTAGTTAACATAACGTTATATACTGGTTGTACTGGCATGTAGTAAAGCTATTAAGGCATATACTAGGCCCCTAGAACAGTGAGTCCCGGTGATTGGTTAACACAGCGGTATATACTGGTTGTACTGGCATGTAGTAAAACTGTTGAAGGCAGACACTAGGCCTCTAGAACAGTGAGTCCCGGTGATTGGTTAACACAGCGGTATATACTGGTTGTACAGTCATGTTGTAAAACTGTTGAAAGGCAGACAATAGGCCCCTAGAACAGTGAGTCCCGGTGATTAGTTAACATAACGTTATATACTGGTTGTACTGGCATGTAGTAAAGCTATTAAGGCATATACTAGGCCCCTAGAACAGTGAGTCCCGGTGATTGGTTAACACAGCGGTATATACTGGTTGTACTGGCATGTAGTAAAACTGTTGAAGGCAGACACTAGTCCTCTAGAACAGTGAGTCCCGGTGATTGGTTAACACAGCGGTATATACTGGTTGTACAGTCATGTTGTAAAACTGTTGAAAGGCAGACAATAGGCCCCTAGAACAGTGAGTCCCGGTGATTAGTTAACATAACGTTATATACTGGTTGTACTGGCATGTAGTAAAGCTATTAAGGCATATACTAGGCCCCTAGAACAGTGAGTCCCGGTGATTGGTTAACACAGCGGTATATACTTGTTGTACTGGCACGTAGTAAAACTGTTGAAGGCAGACACTAGGCCTCTAGAACAGTGAGTCCCCGTGATTGGTTAACACAGCGGTATATACTGGTTGTACTGGCATGTAGTAAAACTGTTGAGCGCAGACACCAGGCCTTTGGAACAGTGAGTCCCGGTGATTGTTGAATACAACGGTATATACTGGTTGTACAGTTATGTAGTAAAACTATTAAGGCACACACTAGGCCTCTAGGAAAGTGAGTCCCCGTGATTAGTTAACACGGCGTTATATACTGGTTGTACAGTCATGTAGTAAAACTATTAAGGCATATACTAGGCCCCTAGAACAGTCATATCCAGGTTGTACAGGCATGTAGTAAAACTGTTGAGCGCAGACACTAGGCCTCTAGAACAGTGAGTCCTCGTGATTGGTTAACACAGCGGTATATACTGATTATACAGTCATGTAGCAAAACTATTAAGGCATATACTACTCCTCTATTACAGTCATATCCTGGTTGTACAGTATGTAGTAACACTGTGCTGGGTTTATATGTAATTTTATACGCAAGATAACAGAATGACAACTTTTTTCTTCTATTTCTCAGATCATATATAAATGAATGATTTTTTTCAGTCATCGGCCTCCTTGTTGGTCACGTGATATGTAAGTAATGTTTGTTTTAAGGTAGTATTGTAGAGAGCCAAGAATCTATTATTGGTTTATTACTATTATGTCTTATTACATGGGAAGACAATTAAATGATTGTAAACAGAGGGGCTAAAGAAAATATACCTAGATTGTTTTTTATGCAAACATTTTGTCAAATGCGATTTTGTCTATTTAACCATCACCAAGTAATTCATGGCTGCGTTATTTTGAGTAAAGGAATAGGATGTGTGTGTGTGTGTGTGTGTGTGTGTGTGTGTGTGTGTGTGTGAGAGTGCGTGTGTGTGTGTGTGTGTGCGTGTGTGTGTCTGTGTGTGTGAAGTGACATAGTTCTATATTTCAAACAGGAAAGTTCTAACTGTTAAAATCCTTAAAGAAACAGTCAAGTTTTATAAAAATTGAAATTAAATCATAATTTATATGATATATAAATGTTGAAGTATTGAACAATGAGTGCTGACTAAGCGCCAGTACAGTTCATTTGATAAATAGGATATCGCTTACTTTTCAATTGAAAATTGGGCAGTGGTGTAGCCAAGTGGTTAAAGCGTTCGACCGTCACGCCGAAGGCCCGGGTTCAATTCCCCGCTTGGGTTCAATGTGTGGAGCCCATTTCGCCTCGATAATTCACTGAATTGAAAACCAAACATACGATCAACAATCAAGCATACATTCAACTGAGCGGTATAGTTTCGTTTGCACTTTAGTTTATAACATTTTGTTTGTTTGTTGTTTAACGCCGCATTCAGCAACATCCTCACTATATGACGCCAGTCTGTAAACACATCGTGTTTTGACAATCTAGTGATTGATAGCATGAGCATCTATCTACGAAATTTGGATATGATGACATGGATCAAGTCCGATCGCGTAAGTCGCCTCTTATGACAAGCATGGGTTTGCTGAAGACCAGTTCTATCCCTGATCTTCTAGAAGCCCTCCATACGACGTTACAAAACCTCTACGTCGTTGCAATGTCAAGTGTTACAATAAAATATGATGTCATAATACATTTTCTCATCAATGCGACAGGTACTAACAGTCGGGATGGAGGTATCGCCGTAGAACCTCATTTCCCCACCACTACAGGTAAGGCCCCCCCCCCCCCCCCCCCCCCCCCCCACACACACACACCCCCCCACCCCCACCCCCCCTGCATATGTACGCATAACAAACACATAACAAATGTACACACAACAAGCACACTACACATGTACACACAACCCACACATTGCACATGTACACACAACCCACACATTGCACATGTACACACATCACACACATTACACATGTACAAACAACACACACATTACACAGTGTACACAACACACACATTACATATGTACACAAGACATATTACACATGTTCACAACACACATTACACATGTACACACAACACACACATTACACATGTACACACAACACGCATTCTATATGTACACACAACACAGACACACAGACACACACACAGACACATACACCGACACACACACACACACCGACACACACACACGCACATTCTATATATACACCGAACACCGAGGTGCATGGAGGAATATGCACCCCGAATACATTAAGTCATCTGTCACTTCGAAGAGAGGACAAATAACATTGTTACAAGTCCATCTTGAGAGATACTAGACATTTTGTCAAAAATGAAAGCAAATACAATCTGAAGTTTACTGAGAAATCAATATGTGAAATGCTGAACTTCCTCATTGATAACATCTATGTAAAAAGTTTGGGTAAGACATTAAGGCAAGACGTAGGCATCCCCATGGCAACCAATGATGCCCCCCTTCTTGCTGATCTGTTCCTTTATGCATATAAATAGTACATTCTTCTTTCATTGGCAAAGTCAACACAATGTTATTTGGCCAGGAAGTTAAATAATGCCTCAGGTATATCGATGATCTGATATCCTTTAATAACAATCAAGTAGCCAATTCCCCTCCACTGTTTTACCCACCTGGACTAGAACTAAAGGCGACAAACCGCATCATCTGTTTCATGTTCCGATCAATGCACAAAGATTCAGAGCGGAAAACATTCTACTCAAGACTGTATTGCAATATTCCTGCAGCTCCAGTTTTTGGTGTTTACATGTCGCAGCTTTTGAGGAACAATCGAGCATGTTCTTTGTACCAAGAGCGTCAAACGACACTTGCTCACAAGTTGTTTGATCAAGGTTACCACATTCATGGCCTCATGAAGCGTTCAAAACGTTCTATGGTAGACATGTGAAGGACACATTTGACGCATCGGTGACAAAAATGATGTAATTCCTTGTTTTGACCAGTAACATGTTCCCGTGTTTGTTATGTGAACAATTGACTTGCCTTTGCATGTGTTTTTTACGGTTGGGGCAGGATTCGCCCGACTTTTCGCTAAAATTTTCCATCATCACAATAAAACACAGGCTCCTGATATAGTCATTTCAGCCGAGATTTACTGTGAATATGGCAAGGTTGTGTCGCTTTTCTTTGCAGAGGGCGATCAGAACAAAAAAACCTCATTGCCTCATACTAGCCATATATATTCACTAATTCAATAATTAAAATGTGAAAAGCCCCATCTTGACGATTTAAGCAACGACAGCACCGACGACGACAACAACACCGCCTCCTCCCGTCTGTGAGGACAAACTATCAACATGCAGCATCTATAAGTCTGTCTGCGAGTCGGACACACAACAGAGGTGGGCGCTGCTGTACTGCGCCAAGACCTGCCGCCTGTGTAGTAAGTCAGCTCACGACGATACTCTGATACTACTTGTATACATGTACATGTGTATTCATGTGTGGATAATCATGTCAGTCTGGTCTGATTTCAGTTAGTATATATAAAATTCAAATGTCCTAAGATGAGCTGTATAATTTACTGAACCGGTTTCATGAATGTAATTTTCAGGAGTCAATGCTTAAAGTCTGGAGTCAATGAAGATAGTTCCTAGATTATGTAATAAGCCACATCTAGGGAATATAAGAATGAGTCTAAGACTGACATCACGTGTCAGGTGGCTCGCACCTACAACTGATGTTGTAAAGCTAACGTCTTATGTATGTGATAATTGTCTCTCCACATGAACTCCCTACCATTCTTTCACTGGCTTTCCTTCTATCTTTTTGTCTGTCTGTCTCTTTCTGTCTCTCTGTTTGTCTGTCTGCATGTCTGTCTGTCCCTCTCTCTCGCCCCATATCCCACTCTCGCTACCTCTCCCCCCGATACCCCAATCTCTCTACTCAGAATCATTCTAAATGTCTACATGTTTCCAACTCCAGACGAGACGACAGTGGCGGTAACACGACCAACAAGGGCATTTACTGGTAGGCATCCATTAAAGTCCAGTTCTGCTACTCCTTACATCAAATACCGACATATATACTGACATTTTGCTCTCACACGAGGGATACGGGACGTCGGTATGTAGTGTGTAGTGTGTAGTGTGTAGTGTGTAGAAGATATAGTTCATTGTTTAATGTGTGTGGTGTGTGGTGTATGTATTATAGGCATGAAAGTGTAATACATATTTAGATAATTATAGGGAAGTTAAATCAATAAGTCATAGAAATAAGAGGGAATGTATACCAGATATTATAACAAGAATTGGCACCATCTTAGAGTGTGGGGACACACTCTTCGTCAGAACGGGGGTCGTATTATAGGCATGAAATAATGGTAATTAGCAACTCATTAAGACAGCTACAGTAATTATATAAGTAGGCAATATGAGGGGCTAAAACAGTAAGATATAGGTATAACACATGGGAAGATATATTGAGTGCAGGCGATGTAGGAGTTGAAGAGCACAGGAAACATACTGGGCAACTCATAACCAGGGGTGACAGTAGTGGGTCGAGGGTCGGAGTACTAGAGCAAAACAATAAAAGTAACATAGCAAGGGAATGTGCAGTTTGCCAGAGACAAAATAGATTGGTAGAGGAAATTGCCCTCGGGTTCATGTATGTTTTTTTGGGGGGAATAGTCCAGATTCCGGGGGTTGAGGTGGTCACATTACCACAAGTCCTAAAAAGGACCCTGAGGTTAGTCAAGAGTGGGTTAGAATGATCTAGTGTAGGGGGGAAAGGTGGTTGACAATGATACATGGAAAAATGAGTGGAACTGTGACGTAGGTACCGGTTTAAATAGGGGGAAAAGCCCCCAGATCGAGAGAGCGGCTAAGAGAGCGGCTAGGGAGCGGCTAGAGAGCGGCTGGGGAGACTACATCAGGACTGGTGCTCCGCTCTCGGCCAAAAAGCCTCCAGATCGGGAGAGCGGCTGGGGAGACGACATCTGGACTGGTGCTCCGTTCTCGGCTTGTTGTCACGATCTTTCGAACCAGAAACTAAACTTAAGCACCAGCATTTGAGACTGAAGCTTTGCGGCCGAAGTCTCGTATTTAAGTGACAACTAGAGTGGGTTGACCGGCAACACAAAGTGGGAATAAAAGCTGTTAAACAAAGATCACTCTTTGTGCTTGTTGGAGGAACTACGGTAATAGATCCAAGGCCCTCGGGTACTGACATTGTACCTCTCGCTCATCCCTGACTGTCAGCACCAAGAACGAGGGGATTACCGTAGTTCAGGTGAAGAGGTACACCGATTGCCACTTCTAACTGATAATAATTACCGGCGATGAACGTCGTTAAAAATACCTTGGATATATGTTGTTTGGGGTGTAGTGTAGATATAGTGCTAAGTTGCAAAATGTGTGTGGTGTGTGATGTGTAGTGTGTGGTGTGTGATGTGTAGTGTGTGATGTGTATAGTTTGGGGTGTAGTGTGTAGTATCTTGTGTGTAGTGTACAGTGTGTTGTGTACATTGTTTTAATCTCCGAGCCGACCAGTCCTTGTTTTAGCCCCTTAATGCCGAGCGCCAGGCAGAGTAACAACAAGTACCATATTTTTCATCTTTTGGTATGAAGCGGCCGGGGATCGAAACCCGAACATTTTACTCTCCTGGCTGACGCTGTACCACTAGACCACGGAGGCAACCCGTTAATGCTGTGGACCATCACATTCTGCATGGAGCATTGTTTGGACGATGTGTTTGCATTGATTTAGTTTGAACTTGCGTTTTTATATTTTTTAAATTTCATTTGTAAATTTGCAAAGATTCTTTTGGCCGCTTGTTTATATAGTGTTTAGTGTAGAATACGTAACGTGTGGCGTGCAGTGTATGTTGTATAGCGTGTAGGACATAATATCCCAGTAAATAATGGGCCCAGGAGTATTCTCTTTCCAGTCCGTTCCACAACATGAAGTTCCTTACCAATTACAATGTCAAAAAGTATTTCGTAATCCTACAGTGTTTTAATGTCATCCTGCCAGGGGCTACAGTACGTCACACGCTGCCGGCGACCTGTGTCGACAAGTGGAGCAACTGTGACTTCTACCCTCACTCGTGTGCGCCAGTGTACAAAGACTGGGCGTCCGCCAACTGTGCCCGCTTCTGCAACTTGTGTTGAGCGTCTTGGAATCTGTACCGAGAAGAGGAGGGACGCATGGAGTCTGCACTGCGAGATTTTGTTGCTGTATTACACATATTAAATGACAGTGTCAGATGACATCAACACACGTCGAATATATTGCCTCCATACAAGGCTATAATCAGGGAGTGGGCCTTTCCCTTTACTAATCTAGCTGGTAAAACACGGATACTGTCTCGGTTAGAGTCCACGGTAGCCTTTATGAGTTTAGGGTAATTACATTCACCGCAGACACAGAGGAGATAAAGTTGAAAGAATGTTTTCTCAATAAGTGTGTGTGTGTGTGTGTGTGTGTGTGTGTGTGTGAGAGAAAGTGTGAGTGAGTGTGTGTATTATTGTGTGTGTGTGAGTGTGTTGAGTGTGTGTGTATTAATGTGTGTGTGTGAGTGAGTGAGTGAGTGAGTGAGTGAGAGAGAGAGTGTGTGTCTGTGTGTGTGAGTGTGTGTGTGTGTGAGAGAGAGTGAGAGTGAGTGAGTGAGTGAGTGTGTGTGTGTGTGTGTGTGTGTGTGTGTGTGTGTGTGTGTGTGTGAAGGGAATCACTTTCCATCAGTTTGTAATGGATACCCGCACACATCGCACACATCGCTTAATTAACAGTATTTCAGTTACATCACGTCGACCGACCGTTTGTGGCCGTACTCGATGTAGTTAATAGACGTTTGCAACTTTGGTGAAACCCACGTGCTCAGGTATGGTGCTGACAACCCTAGAAACAATCAGGGCGAATCTGTGATCCGAACTAACGACATCAGGCATGGTCTTAGGGAAGCAACTCTGCACAGTCTATTACGCGCCTTACACAACTGAGCTCCCAGTGGGGAACTAAGCCAAACTGAATGGAATCAAATATTCTTTACATTAATTTTGACTCATGTGAATCATGCATAGAAAATGTAGGATGATCATATAGGAATCGAATAAGTCAATTCTTTCAAATAGTTCAATAAATTACAGATACACTGATAAACAATAAATAGACGACAAAAACAAACATCAGGAAAACGAAGCACTGTTGTGGAGTATACACTGGACGCGTCCCTGCATATCAGTCGCGATCAATGTTTTACCTGCAGTGACTAGACTGGTTACCAGTATGTGCGCATCAGACAACGCATATCAGCTGACCGACCCGCCCCTCGACACTCCAGGACAAAGTCGACATGGCTTCAGGCAGACTGGAAGAATGAGAGGTTAAAACTACTGACAATTAAAGGTAATGTGAGCATTGGCAACATGGAAGTTTGTTTGACGTCCGGTATATACTTAATGAGTGTGACGTCCAGTATATACTTGATGAGTGTGACGTCCAGTATATACTTGATGAGTGTGACGTCCGGTATATACTTGATGAGTGTGACGTCCAGTATATACTTGATGAGTGTGACGTCCAGTATATACATGTACTTGATGAGTGTGACATGCCACAGGTATATGGAAGGTGTGAAAATAGCTTCATACTTCCTGGTTGTACATGGTCGTACAGTCCCTGCGTGTGCTGTATTATAAGATTGAGTTATAGTTTATTTTGAACGCTGCAACAGCAAAATGTCAGCAATATCGATCCAGATCCATTGTCAAAACTTTGTTTTTATTTAAAGTAACAGATGCCAGTGTTATTTACACAACACGAGTCCATCTATTCTTAGAATAGAAAGACGGATCAAGAATTTCTGGGGAGGGGTCAAACATATCCAAATCCTCGTTCAGATAAGTTTACTGCCTACACAATTTGTTTTGAAAAGAAAGAGGAGGGGGACCTTGGACACCCCCCACCCCTCCCTGGGTCAGCCAACAGAATCAAAGATTCTACTTTCGTTATGCAAATGTACTGGAATGACTCATGTCCATATACAAGCATTTTACGGACGTTTCAACATGATTGAGCTGGCGGTGGTTCATGCATGGGGTGTTACACAATACTGAAACTTGTCGTAAACTTGCAACGTCCTGAAACCAACCAACCAACCAATCAGTCAACAAATCAATCAGTATGTTTTCATGATACGGGTGAGACCAAAGGCCGGGTTGTTACAAGTTCTCATGAACAAATATATTATTATGGATTCTGTGCAATATTTTGCAAAATTTGTTTACATTTCCATTGTGGTAAAACTAGTGATTTCGATACTATTTCTGAACTAATTATACATTTTGACATCATTTGTTGCAACTTGTACAAAATCTAAGTTCTCTTAAAATATGCACTATGCCTATTTCAATAAATAAATCACGTGAGCTATAACGGAGTCCAGAAAAAGATAGCAAACTTATGTCAAATTACATTAAGAAGATAATGTTCTACTATTAAAGTAGTCTTGAATATGGTCCTGCACCATGACTGTGGAATATATGTATTTTATAACAATAAAACCTATCTAGTTTTATATAAATACAGTTCTATCCAGCTCTAACAATCCCTATGAAATCAGCATCACGAAAATTAATTGTTTTCATTTAAGAAGAGAGAAATGTTATGTGTAATAAAATATTTCAAAGACGATGTATTAGTCTGTCTCAGTGTTAGTGTAGTTATTAGCTTTGTTGGAGCTGGACATGTCATTACTTAAAATTATGATGATAAATCTTTCACTTCACCTCAACTGAAAATATGTATTTCACAAAAGGGTCAAAATCTAAAATTGTTTGTTCATAAATATGTTTTACTATTACAGATGGCGATGCACAAGACATTGACAGACAATTTCCTGACTTGCAGCATCTGCATGGAAGTCTTTGATGACCCCTGTACACTTGTGTGTTATCACACATTTTGTCGGAAATGTGTCGTTAGCTACACTGAAACCAGACCAGAAGCCATCAGTGCCAAGTCTCTCCTCTGTCCATTCTGTCGTAAGATGACCAAAGTAGCCAACTCAAACAGGCCAGTTGAAGAGTGGACACAGGAGGTGAAACCCAGCTTCTTGATTCGGGGTCTCATGGATTCCTTCGCTCCCTGCAGTCAAGGTATAAGTTTACACCAGAGACCATGGTGGTTGGACTTCCAATCAATCCATATAGTTTTAATTCATCTTTAACACAGGCAACAGTATTTACCCATCTATGACAGACACGTTTTTGTCCTAACATTACTTGAATATCTCTGTCATTTCTTTCAGTGGCACACTATTAGACCTGCAGTCAATCCTGTAACATATTTTCTCGTTTGCTTCTGAGACAAATTATTGATTCTCATGATTTTGAAGTAATGTTATTGACCTTGTCTAGTCACAATGCCACGTAATGTTAACGCCTTTATTATTGCATACGAACACAAAAATACATTTCTCAATTTATTGTTGTATTAACCTAATTTTGTAATTTTCAAGTTTAATAGAATTATATTTTTAGTGATATTCAAACATGTCATCGCAAGAATGACTTGTAAGCTTTTAAAGACGAGTGCTGCTTGTAGTTTTTTTTATTACCAGTTGATAAGTACATTTTTTTAACAGGTACTGTATTTTCTATGTTGGAATTCCAAAATGAACCAACCTAAACGTGAAATGCGTATTTAATTATTCCAGTTATAGCATCGCGTGTCAGTTTGATGTGTGTGGAAAACTCGATCCGATGTCAAATGTCACTTTGGTGAAACCCACGAGCACACGAATGGTACCGACATACCATGAAACATAATGAGGGCGACTCTGGGATTTGAGGGACTGCGTCACTGGTGCCCCTTAAATGGGTACTGATAAAGGAAAGGATAATTGTGTTTATAAGATGACGCAAATAGGTGGTCTTATATTCATATTTTCTATTCATGTGAAGCACTTTATAAGTGCATCCTAACATAACCTATATTTCTCTGTACACCACCTTAAAAATTATCTATGTCAGCATAATACATGTGTATATTTCTTATCAGGAACAAATAACTGCAACTTATGTGATGAGGACGGGGAGACAACTCCAGCCAATGCTTGGTGCGTCGAATGCAATGTCTCACTCTGTGATGGATGCCTGAAGGCACATAGACGTATCCCTGCCACTCGTCACCATGACGTATCTGACTTGTCAAGGGATGTCAAGGTGAAGAAAAGACGCAAACCTATGTGTAAAGAACATCCAGATCAGAGGATGCAGTTCTACTGCAAGGACTGTAAGAAACTACAATGTCAATCTTGTTGCATCTTGTATCACAGAAAATGTGAGTCCATTGTCTCGCTTGAGTCTGTGTTGCCTGAAATGCAAAACACTCTTCAATCTGTAAAACAGAAACTAGAGTCTGATTTAGCAACATCAAACACTCGCCTTGCAAAGAAGGGAGCACAATGTACTGAAATTAATAAGAACAAGTCAAGCCTTCAGTCTCAGGTCCGATCAGCAACCCACACCGCCATTGACTTGATAAAGAAGAAGGAAAGACAACTCCTGGAACAAATAGATGACGTCACAGAGAAACAAATAGGACAGCTGAAAGGAGACATGAATCGTGAGGAGATGGCCAGGCAGATGATTCGTCAACACTCGGAGTTGCTGGGCAGAGCTCTGGAGTCTGAGAGTGACATGGACATCTGTGAGATGTATCTGTGGAGTGAGTCGGAGGAGGCAGCCACTGTGTGTGTCCCGGAGTCAGGTATGGAGGATGTATCTGGAGGCAAGGCTTGTTTCATACACGATCGTCATCTGATGTGTGAGGAACTAAACGATCTACACTTGGGTGTGATTGATATCATTGTTGAAGATGTTTTTGATTCTACATCTACAGCAGTTCTGTATGACACAGTGGACATACAGGCAGAAGATGATAAGAAGAAACCCAATGGTTATGACGTGGCAGTGTTTGTTGTCGACAACACAGACATCATGGTTGTCACAGATTATGACAACAGGTGTGTGAAATCCTTCTACAAAAGAAACAAGATGTCATGTCAGAGTAAGCTGGGGGTACAAAGCGGTCCTCGATGTATTGCAAAATTAAACAACAATAAAATGGCTGTGACTCTCCCTGACACTAAGAAAATAATAATAGTAGAAGTGAAGCCTGAGCTGGTTCTTCAATCATCCATCTCGACAAGGAAGTGGTATGTGGGTCTGACATCCCTGACACCGACAACCCTGGCAGCAGGATCCGGGGATCCTCCCTATGTGGACATCCTGGACATGGCGGGGAATGTGTTGAGGACCCTGGATCCTGTCACAGATGGAGAGAGACTTGTATCATGTCCTTGGTACCTCAGTACCACCAGGCAGGGTAACATCCTCGTGTCTTGCTGTGTATACGGAGCTCGCAATGTCCTCTGTCTGACTTCTCATGGAGATGTTGTGTTCAGGTATCAGCCTAAACAGAAGAGGCATTACGCTCATGGAATCACTGAAACCAACGCAGGACATATCCTGGTTATAATTTACAATGCGAAATGTGTGATTCAACTCAGCGCTTCTGGGACGTTTGTGAGGAAAGTGTTGACGTCACGTGATGGTATTACATCTCCGCATAATCTCTACCTGTCTGAAAGTCAGCACCTGTATGTCATCGATGGTGACTGTGTGAAGATCTACAGATTTACAAGAAACACCTAAGATGTGGATGCATAACGATTGTACCTGGTACAACACGTCACCATCTGAGTGACAATAGTTTATGTAAATATGAACCTCCAATACAAGAGAACAATCAGTCTAGACTGTCCGCCGAAACAGATTAAAATTTGACGTAAAGTGCAAAATAGTTATGAAATTTATATGGATGGACCACTGATATTGGGTGATGACTCCAGGTGTTCGCGAAAAGGGTAAGCATGTCCGACCCTATCGGTAGCACTCGCCAATCACACAATTTTAATGAATAAGGAGGTATTTGTCCCTGACGCGGCACAGCTGTACTCGTATCGTGAGACGGCGGCCTGTAAACAAACCAGACAATCGGGTGATCGATGAACCAGAATATCCAGTGACACGTTAGTGCATTAACTGATTTTGTTGAGACTAATCAAACCGATACGTTAATTTTACCCTACGAATTAAGTGCACCGATTCTGCTTCTTAAAAGAAAGAAGAACGTTTAAGAACTATTATGTAGGGCATTGGTTGGGGGGTGCGCAGTTTTATTGTGCCCACACCAGGTTTTCGCGATGTTTGTGTCTGACATTGATGTGGAGCTGTGAGACATCGCAGACGATTAATTACATACCACCCTCATATAGCTGGAATATTGCCGAGTGCTGCGACGAACAACAAATAAACAACTGGCGCGCATTTTTTGTTGCATGTAAGCGACTGCTGGAAACTAAAGCCTTGTTGCCTCGTGAAGTATATAATTATATATTTGTAAATACAATAAAACTCTGATAATTAAACCATTAACCACTTCCTGTCAGTTTAAGTGTATTTGTAAACATTTACTTGCATATCCATGTGTTTACTTTTCTGTCATAATAAAAGTGCTGTCACTACCTTTGTACAGATTGTCTTTCTTGTTTAAATGAATACATAACACACACCACGCCACTATGGAACCCGTTCTACGACGGGAATTTGTGTTAAAAGATGTGAAAAGAGATCGTTTCAGCACTTGGTTCTTTTCGTGGAATACGACGCATGTCTTTCTAACAAACATCAGTTAACGCTTTGTGATGTGAAGGGAGAAATGGCGGTTAAAATCTCATGTGACCCCGTTACTTACAAATGCATATTGTTTCCATATATATTGATACTGTTTTGTTCATTCATCCAAGGTCAAGTTTAGAAAATCTGAGCGAATATGTCTGTTCGTCGACACCAACCACAACACTGCCGACATACTTATAATCTCACGAAACAGTCGTGAATGCCGTGGTTATCTATCAGAAGTATAGAAAATAGTTTACAGAAATACATCCGTTTCATCGACAGTATTAATACCTCGCCAAGGCCCCGGACTCACTATATACCACTGGGGACAGATAACACGTACTTCCTCGTTGCCCAAAGGTTATTTCTCGAAATTTTCAGTTTGTTTCAATCGGTAAAACGGTATATGATTGGCTACGGATGTGTCGTGAATTGCCAACAGAATCCTATATAGCATATATGTCTCTGTTCTCGAAATAATATCCTGCCTAGATCATACAAATATAAATGGCAAATGTTTCCATATCTTATTTTTAACCGTTTATTTGGCGCAGAATAGACTTGTGATTAAGATTTCTAAACCTATAGATGCAAGTGCGACATCCGCGTAGAAGCAGGCTGTAGTTTCTCTAATGGCAGCTATGTTTCAATCAAAAGGTCACCAATTACATATGACAATGTCCAATCTTTAATTTCACATTTGATTTACCAGGGGTATTTGTGTTTATTGCTTCATCTCAGATTCTGTTTTGACTCTCGATGCGAGGTGTTATGGTTCAGTTTTCACCCGTGTTTCGTTGTCGGGAACAACAGTGACGTCATCAACTGTTTGAATGTTTGGCAGAGTAAGACATGGGCTTTATACATTGTATCCATGCGGGCACTAGGACCCATGCCTCTGGCGAGACAAGCCAAGCTCCAACTACTAGTCTACCCCTCCTTTACGACCACCCCCACCCGCGCCTTCTGGAAGATCTGTGTTTGAATCTTCAGAAACCCATGCTTGTCGTATGAGGCCACACACGGGATCGGGTGGTCAGGCTTGGTTGATGCATGTCATCGCATTCAAATCAATCGATGGTCATGATGTTAATCACTGGAGTTTTAGACCGCCGTCTTGTAGCTGGAAGAGTGTTGAGAGCGGCGTTAATGAACCTACCGTCCTACCAACAAACAATCAGTAAACAGTAGCAATAGGTGACTGACATATTAAGGTGTTATGAAGAAGTGACCAAGTGTTGGAAGTGAAGCTCTGTCTAAATGTCAATATTCACGATATACCTGATCTGAGTGAAAATATGGTAAGTAAAGTGAAAGAAGTAAATATCCAATCTCCAGACAAAATCACATCCTCCCACATCCCCCACCAATATAACATTCTCGTCCCATAATGCCGGCTTTATAGTTCTAGCCCACTGAGATACCACGCCGCAGTATAACGTGGCTGCACACAGTCACATTTTACTGACACCGAGGCTGTCAGCCTTGTTTTATCACCTCAAAATAGTAATCGAATCACGTCAAAGCCAAAATATACAACACTTTAAATACAATAGTTTTTATGCACATGTCAATACAAAAGTGAGACACAGCTAAACAAAATGATTTAGTTTACCTTCCAAAAGTAAATGTTTCGTAAAGATGTTGTTTCATAACAATGCGCTTGCGTCCTCTGTGCATCTTTCATCATCTGTCACCTCATCATCAGGATCGAACACAGTCACAGCCCTCGGACCACGGAAGTAGTAGTAAACACGCCTACACTATTCAAAGTGACCGAGATCACCCTTCATGTACATCTTGGTTTGGTGCGTGTTATGAACCTGTAGACCATCACACAGTGGCGGTTGGTGACATACAGACGCCTCCGCTTATCAAAGTACAGGCCATAAGGGAAAGTGATGCCATCCCTTGACGTCAGTACGTCTCTCAACCAAGTGCCTGAACTACTCAAATGAACCACTTTGTTTGACATGTCGTCAACAACAAGCATGTCGCCTGTGTTTGTTCCAGTGATGCCGCATGGATTCATTGCTCGATGTTGTCCTGTGGGTACATAATTAAACACAACTTCTCCGTTTGGTGTCATACATAGCACATGACTTCTTGGGGCATGACTGCATGACACCAGGATGTAACCTTGACTGGTGGTAGATAGGAATAAAGGATCTGATACAAGGGTTTCCCCATCTATGACACGATTCAGCGTCCTCAACACATTCCCCGCCATGTCCAGGATGTCCACACAGGGCGGCGACCCGGATCCTGCTGCCAGGGTAGTCGGAGTCAGGGCTGTCAGACCAAAGTACTTCTTCCTCGTTGAAATGTATGACTGAAGAACAAGGTCAGGGTTCACTTCAATCACTATTATCTCCCTTGTCTCGGGAAGGGTCACAGCCATGTGATGGGCATTAAGTTTTGCAATCCGCCGAGGGGGGCTTTGAACAGAGAGCTTACTCTGACAGGGTTGAGTATTGCGTGTGTAGAAGGATTTGACGCACTTGTTGTTATTATCAGTTACAACTATGGTGTCTGTACCGCCTTCATTGAACACTGCCACATCATAAACATGAGGTAAACTTGTCTCATCTTCTGTTTGTATGTCCACTGTGTCGTGCAGAACTGATGTCGATGTGGAATCAAACACATCTTCATATATGGTATCAATTTCACCGAAGCTTACCTCGTGTATATTATTACAGATCTCTTCACAATCATGCTTAAAACATACTTTCTCTCTCAGTTCATATTTCATATCTGAATCTGGGTCGTATACTGCAGGAAACTCCTCTGACTCACACCACATGTACATCTCATAGATGTCAATTTCACTTCCAGACTCCAGAGCTCTGTCTATCATCACAGAGTGATGACTTATCATCTGCTTGGCCATCTCCTCAGACTTCATTTCAGTTTTCAGTCGCTCGATCTGTTTCTCAGTGGCGTCATCCAGATGGTCCAGGAGTTGTCGTTCCTTCTTCTTTATGGCTTCTGTGACTGTCTGGATTGTGGATCGGATCTGACACTGAACGGTGACTCTGTTCTTTATTACCTCAGTCCGTTTGGTTTCTAAATCTGTTAGCAAACTGTCTGTTGCTTGTAAATGAGACGCTACTCTTTCCTTAACTCCCGTAACACAGCTGATCAGTTCTGGCATAACAGATTCAAACGGTAGAATTGCCTCACACTTTCTGTGATACAGGATGCAACAGGATTGACATTGCAGTTTCTTACAATCTTTGCAGTAGAACTGCATGCTTTGATCTGGATGTTGCTTACAGAATGGTTTGCGTCTTTGGTTGATTTTGACCTCTGTGGACAGGTCAGATACGTCATGGTGACGAGTGGCAGGAATACGTCTGTGAGCCTTCTGGCATCCCTCACAAAGACTGATGTCACAGGCAGCACACCAAGCAGTGGCTGGAGGTGCCACTCCTTCATCACTACATAGGATGCACGGGGTATCTGCAAGTATACATACAAATGTGTCAGTTATTTTTCAACAATAGAACTATAATGTTACGAAATAACCTTTAACCTTTCAATGTGCATACAAGGAATTCACAAACCAGGGATATGAAGAACGTAACAATGTTAGGATGATTTCAACACTGGTAGCCTATTCGGAAATACCTTTTGTCTTGGGATTGAAAGAATCCAAGAGACCCTGAATCAAAAAGCTTGGTTTCACCTCCTGTGCCCACTCTTCAACTGGCCTGTTTGAGTTGACTACTTTGGTCATCTTTCGACAGAATGGACAGAGGAGAGACTTGACACTGATGGCTTCTGGTCTAGTTTCAGTGTAGCTGACGACACACTTCCGACAAAATGTGTGATAACATACAAGTGTGCAGGGGTCATCAAAGACGTCCATGCAGATGCTACACGTCAAGAAGTTGTCTGTCAATTGTCGGTGCACTGCCATCTAAAATGTTAAAATAAAAATATTGGCACTCTCA